AAGAAATGTAATCCACCAAGAACAAGAAGACAAGGCATCAAGAATCAAAAGGCAACATCAAAAGAAAGCAATGCATTATGCATCAGGCAAAGGCAAAGTAAAAGAAGAAAAAGGAGAAGATGACAAGGATGAGTGGATGACACATCAAAAAGAAAAAGACTAAAGAAGTGTGTTTGTTTTTTCTCTTTTGATCAATAATGTAGTCTGTAGACATGTAGTCCATAACGTGTGTTTGTTTCTTCCTAAGTGGAGAATGATGTAAGTGCATATGTAAGCAGGCAACGCTCCTGCATGGCTGCATCTATAAATATGTACATCTGAACCTCATAAGGAGGCAGAGTAGAATAAAAGTTTTGAGATTTCTCTCTCAAAGACTAAGTGAAGTCTTGGTGCTTCGGCACAGAGCGGTTGAGGTAATACTCTGGAGCTGCTCGTATCCACTATCACTCACCCATAAAAACCATACACCAACCACTAAATATCACAAAGATTTCCCCAAACACCATTTCGACGATCATCAGCAATCAACAACTTTCGTACTACACCAACACCACCATGGAGATGTTCAACAACGAGAAATCGCATTATTCAACCTAAGCAGCAATCAGGTATGTCAGATAATCCCAGTAGTAGTAATAGTTACTTTGATTATTTAAGTAAAAATGAAAAAGAAAATTATTTTTTAGATGGAATGTTAGATGTTAAGAAAATCAAGGAACAAACTAATTTTACCTTATCAGAAACACAAAATTTTATTACTAAGTCATTTTTATCCAAATTATTTGATAGGAAAAATATAATTAATTATCCAAATTATTTGATAGGAAAAATATAATTAAATATGGAAAAATGATAGGGGAAACAGCAGTACCAATAGAGCAGACTAAGGGAGATTTTCTAATTCAAATAATAAATAGAGAACAAATTAAGAAAAATTATCCAAGTTACAACAGGAGGAAAGAAATAAAATATCTTACATACACATTAGCACAATCCAAATCATTCTAAAATCTACTATGAAAACAGGAATAAGTGCACATATAGAGCTAGAAATAAGAGATGATCGACTAATCAATAGAGAGGAGAGTATTATTGCAAAGGGAAAAGGAAAAGACTAAAGATGAGGCAGTTCCACAAAAGTATATTTGTGGGTCTCTATTGATGTCTTATTCAGGGACATCCATGCTAAAAGCATAGATGTATTGGTAGGGTCATATTTAAGTACATCTTCTGTACGGGAGTTAATACTTGAATATACTTTATTTGGTCCTGACAAATGAATTGACATCTGAAGAACTGATGGAGAATAATTATAAATGTCAAATCTAAAAATTCTCCAACATACCTCACCTGATGTAATGTAACGTCCATCCATGAATGCTTTTATTTCATGAATACAAACAACTGTGCTAGAAGCATTTCCTTCTGTAACAGCAGATGTAGCTCGTTGGGTAGCTATTGTTGCCCTTGCATGATCCTCGGGCTTATTTATATATTTAAACAAATATTTCACAGCCCTACAAACAAATGTCGATATTGACGTACAATTTTCAATTGAAAAAATCCAAAAGTCCTAGAGATTGTTGCATCTACTTCCCAGGTGGCTTGCAAGTAACAATTGTGATTTATCAGTGGAATTTATGGAGAGGGGACACGTTTTGGATTTGGCACTCGGCTGGCAAACTCCTCGTGTCCAAATTGATCCACTCCCCTATCCGTTTACGAGAAGGGAATTGATTCCCCCTGTTCTATCCCACCGACCTAATGCCTCGCATGTGTGAGTCTCCTGCTTGCTTAAGCAGGTAGGTCTCACAGTAAAGAGGCCGACGTTACTAGGGATGGCAACAAAACCCGAACCCACGGATACCCACCCGACCCAACCCGGTCAATGCGGGTAAAATCCGTGTTGACGGGTTTTGGGTCGGTTTTGGGTTTAAACCCATTCACTATTCACCGGTTCGGTTGGGTTTGGGTTTAGGTAAACCCGACCCATGGGTACCCGCCCACACCCATATAATTAATTTTCTCGATATATTTAATATTCTAAACCAATGCAGTCAAAATCGCGGTTTAAAACTTAAAAACTTACCCTTTTACCTTTTTAGGTCACCAAAACGCTTCTACGTAGAATCGTGATTTCCCCTTACAAATGTAGTCAAAATCTACTCTTCAAAACTTAAAAACTCACGGTTTTACGCTTTTAGGTCACCCAACCGCTTCTTGGTAGAATCGCGATTTTGACTGGATTGTTCTAAACAACTAATCTTATTTATGTTTGTGGAGACATGTCTAATTTTTCCTTTCTAATTTTGTAGAATGAAGTTGATGTTATCGAGTGGAGAGTGAAGAAACTTAATTGAAAGGAAGAAGCTTTAAATTAATCATGTTATTTATGGATAATTTGTGATTTGCTTCAATTTTCTTGAATTTTCTAGATTGGTGTTGAACAATTTGTATAGTTAATTTGTGATTTACTTGAATTTTCTAGAATGGTGTTTTATATATAGATAATTTGTATTGAGAGATTAATATTTGACTTTAATTTTGATAGGAACTTGTTATTGTAAATTTTTTACGACAAAAACCCGTGGATACCCATGAACCAGCGGATACCGAGTGGGTTGGGTTGGGTTTGAGTTTTTCAAACTCAGTGGGTTAACCCGGTTTTTTTTCATGGATAAACCCATGGGTTTGGGTTTGGCAAAACCCGACCCAACCCGACCCATTGCCATCCCTATGTGTTGCGGAGTACGTGGTGGGGTTAAGAGATGAGTGATACCATGAGTTTGCAAGAATGAGCATAATTTTGGGGATTCACCACCGCCATCACTATAAATAGTAAATACAACAAATAGTGGTGTGGAAAAAAATTTCAATCATAGCCTTGTATGTGGTAAAAACATGGTGAACATCAGATTTGTGGGAGAGACAATAAAGCCATGTATAGCGTGTAAAATGATCCACAATAATCTAGTAGTATAAAAAATTATCATGCGATGGAATAGGAGAAGGCCCCCAAAAATCCATGTATAATAAATCAATAGGTCTTGAACTCGATAAACTAGACATGGGAATTGGAAGTTTATGGCTTTTATGAAGAGAACACGAGTCACACGAAGAACTAGAGGATAAAGAAATAACAGGCAAAGATTGTTTACGAAGAACACGGTAAAGAAGCTTGAAATGAGGATGACCCAAGCGTTGAGCCATACAATCGAAGAGGTGCGGGAGGCTGAGAGCAAGCCGAACAGGAGAAGCTAATGCCGGTAACTCATAGACGTCCCCCTAATATCCTCCGCCGCCCTGATTTCATTGGCATCGACGCGGGCCACGTCGTCGTCGTTGTGCTCTCCTCGAGAGACGATTGTCCTGTTGGCGTTCAGCTCCTGTTCGCGACAGAATGTGGTGAATCTCTCACTTGATTTCACTAGACAAACGGCTATAGTCCTGTCGTGCACCATCTTTGCGTTCCGTGCTAGGATGTGGTACGGAGCTAGGTCAAGAATCATTTCACCCTACCCAGTAGGATGCGTAAGACAAGGATCCAACTATATAAAGTGTGTTTAATTGGAGGTCTAATTAATAAGCTAGCTAACATGGCAAGTAATGAAATTAAATAATTATAAAAAGGGAGCTAACAACGAAACTAAGAACAAACAACTCCCTATCCGAATAGAACATAACACAGTCGGACCTACCCAACCCAATACCGATCGCACAATCTGGTTCGTCTAGGGCTCTCGCAATAATCTTGAACCGTCGGGACTAGGGATGGACCCATATAGGTGGTTATTTGGTTTGGGTTTTTGGATTTTACCCGAAATTGGAACGTATTACTCGAACTGAAATTGGACCGGGACCGGATAGCAAACAATCCAATTCTATTTTCGGATTTAGATTTGAGGTAAAAAACCATTCGGGACCAGACTGAAAACCGGATAAAGACCAGATAAGAGAGTTCAACACCCAAAACATAACGAACTCTTCACCCTTTGAGGCCTCAAACCACTCAAATCCCCACAAGTTCAATCTAAAATCAAGACCGAATTGGGACTGGATCGGGTCAAGACCAAATTCGATCAAAATTGAATGTTATCCAATCTAATCTTTGATCCTTATATTCTCGTAAAAACCAGATCGAAACCGGATCAATTTGGACCAATTTAATCGGACCGAACTATATCCACCCCTAGTCCCATCATCCTCACATTCGAGTAATTAACTAACTTGGAAATATGGATGACAATTGAACCTCGGTCTAGTCAAATTCAATGTTGACGGGTTTTACTCAGCTTCTAGAATCGGCACTCGGCAGGTTAGGTTCCGGTGTGTATTTTGCAAAGATACGGTTTGCTTTCTACTAGAACTGCAAATTAAATATTGTTTTTTATCTCACTCTAATAATTTGGATAATTTATAGATAATAATTTTTTGACAAATTAAATATATAATCTATGAAAAGATGTGGATGTTCGTACGTATTACTTGTGGTTATGTAAAACTATGATTACCTATACACTCGGGTACGTACTCGATTCGATGGTTGGGTTGAATTTTCTCTTCCACAACCAAGCAAGTATTTACTGGGTTTTTTCACCGTTACACCCTATGGGGTGAGTTTGGGTTTGAGATCATCTTAACCCAACCCATTCCCATCCATACTTGGGAACCATAGGTGCATAAGTATAAACCGACTACCAACTTTTTACCAACGACGAGGATAAAGTAAATAATCAACACGTATCGCGCCTAGAAACGTAATCACCAATCATTATTAAATGCAACGTGATTACAACAACTCTCACTACATAAATATGTGAAAATACTTGTTAATCGCGCATACGAAATCCATACAGACAATTTGAACAAGCACAGAGAAGATCCGTACAGTGACACCATAATATATGTGTTAGTCACGTAAGTTCCACATGCTACTCACACCATATGATTCAGTCAATACGATACAGTATCACAAATCATCGAACAGTCGAGAGAGCTAGCTAGCCACACTTATTGGTGAGTCCAGTCAGGATATAACACAGAGCATTCGGACCCCACACCTCACCGGCTCCGCCTTCGTCTCCGCAATCGTTGACCAAGTCGTTGCCCGCACTGGTCAAGCAGTCGTTGCAGTCTTTCGAGGGATCCAGAGACCTGCCGATCGTCGAGCAGTAACCGTACCCGTACATATTCGCCGATCCACTCGGCATCTCCTGCACGTTGCAGTACCGCTGGTTAGGCTGAGCTGGCACTTCGCCGGCTAAATCTCTGACGAGGCTCGCCGCCGTTCCCGCATCGCACCTGCCGATGTTGTGGCAGAACACGCTGTTGCCCTCGGCCGCGGCGGCGGCGACAAGAAGAAGAAAGATGGACGACGTGACTGCTATTAACCTGCATACCGCCATGGCAATGTTCACGCTCGGTAATGACAGTTTCTTTCTGTTGCGGTATGGTGAAATGTGAAGGGCTAGTTTCTGGTCACTATATATATATATAGTAAAATTTATATTTGAAATATGCAAATAAATAATAACCAAGGTTTAGATTTTGTTAATTGTAGTTCAAAGTTTCGGTATTCATAATTCATAACTGTGTACGCCTCTAGAACTCTAGTTGCAAATGTTTGTACTCTTTCCGTTGTAAACTTGTAATAGAGTTTAGGAGGTCGGCCGATCTTGGGGTGAAAAAATTTAATAATAAATAATAATCCTTCCTTCAACTTTTTCTACGGAATCAAAGATCGGGTTATTTCAATATTTTGATTAATTAAATGGAAAGAGACGACAACAAAACAAAGGTAAAGAGGCTTGTTTCGCGGCGACGAGATGGGGGCATGGTATTTGTAGAACGATGTATGAAATAAAATAATAAAAAATGAATTGAGAATGCATGCGCATGTCAAATTCTCATTAAATAATTCCCTCGTATCTTTTGCTCCAATCAATATATAACTAATTATCTTTTGTAAAAAAAAAAATGTTACGGATATACGAGAACATGTACCCGTGTAATTTTTGATCGCCTTCATCTGATATGGTTTTGAAACCATAACACATAGCTATAGCATGAAACAAAAAGGACACTGATGCAGGGACGTAGCCAGGATTTCGACTAGGGTGGGTCCACTTAGAAAAAATATACATGAAACATAGTTTTTATTCAATTTTTTATTATTCTCAATATAATCTATATTTAATTTTTTTTTATATATTATAATATATTATCAGTAGTCAAAACTATCATTACTCTCTCTCTGTACCAAACATTTATTCATAATTTAGTTAGTCGTTCGCTTTCAAATTGTGTTCTTTGTCAATAATCATTTAGTGTCAATAACTCGAGTTTTTGGAAGAAGTTTAACAATGAATCTTATACTAAACAAATATTCTTGATTTAGTTATTTATTCTCCTTTGAATTGTGTTCTCTGCCAATAATCATAGTATCAATAATTAGAGTTGTTGGATGAGGTTCAATAATATATCTTATACCATTTACTAATACACACCCTTATAAGAAAGTCAAATTATATGGAATTGAATTTGCACAAATTTGAATATTATATGTACTTAACAAATAAGGTCACCAAAATTCGAACACAAGACCTTTTGATCAAGTGACCAACTATTATCAATTAGACGCACCCTAATTTTATTATCAATTAACTATTGTAACTAATTTATCATTTTTCTCCCGAGTTAAGGTGGGTCCCACGACCCACCCTATTACCCTCTCCCTCCGCCCCTGCACTGACATGAGTATGTACTGAAACCATGATACATAGCCAGAACTAGGGCTGAACAATAATTTGGTCTACACTGCACCATATCGTCCTAAATTGATATTTGGACTTAATCGGATCGGACCGAATATATACCGATTTGATTTTGATTTTATGAATGATTTAAAGTATGAGAAAAGAAAATGAATCAAAATGGAATTTGGATTAGAACCAGGTAGAATTGAGCCAAACCCGATTTCCACGGTATTCACACCCGAAAAGCAAAACGACATTGCTTTGCTTTGTTAATAGTTGAAGAGAAAATTTGGATAGTACAAGAATATTGATGATGTTTGAATAAGGGGATTGCTATTCGTCGCCCTAAAAATCTTTATTCGTCGCCCTCATTATGTTAAATTTACTCTAATGCCCTTAATTTATTTTTTGTCTCTAAAAAACTTAAACACTAAAACAAACACATTTATCCACTCGTCACGACGAATAGCGATTCAGGTTATAATCTCCTTAATTGTTGACTTTATTTACGTTGAGGAAGTGTAATCTCTTTTAATCCTTTAATTCCTTCCTAATCATCATCTTTCTGTCCAAATTTCTCTCTTTAACATCGATGATGATCATCCTTAGCCACATTGGAGCTACCCACAAGTCATCCAAAAGAAAACACAAGCATAAATCTGATTTACATGGAAGCTATATGAATAGAGACCAAAATAATATTAACGAGGGCCACTCAATTGTAGGCCATACACATGGTAGTGATAATTCCTTTCTTCTTAATCCTTAGTTCCTTTTGCGCTACGTTATTGATCTTCTTCCTTTTGCGGCGGATCCAGTGGCCGCCTTCCTTCCTCCTCCTGGTCGACAGCAACGACGAATAGTAGTGGCGGCGAGGAGTGACACTGGCGGCAGCGGCGGCGGGAGCAGTTATAGTGTCGGATTGTTTGCTGGGGTTTTGTGTTAGTTTTGATGTTAGTGGTATATGTGTCAACTTAGTATAGTTTAGGGCGATTTATTTTGAATTTTAGAGAGACAAATAGCAATTCAGCTTTAAAATAGCATTCGCGAGCCTCAGACACCTACACTAAAAAACGAAGGTAGTAATCTTGCAAAGATACAACACTCATTAACTGCCGGAGATTTGTTTTGGAAAACCCCAAAAGGCAAACTACTTATTGAAATGTACAAAGGGAGCAAAAGCAAACCCATAGGACAAAGACGGGTGAAAATCACCATGGTCACTGAACTTGTTCTATTAATTCATGTTTACCATCACCATCCATCACAATATAGACTAAATTTGTTCTATTAACTCATGTTTAGTTGTTTACCATCACCATCCATCACTGCATAGTCAATTATAATTGAAATAGACTTAAAGAATATTTGTTTGGAGCTAGATATGAACCAAAGTCCTCCACCTATGAATGAATGACTTCCACCACTTAGACAGTTAGACTACGACACATTTGTGTAAATAAGTTAATTTTAAACTACCTTATTCTCACTCGGAGATTCTGTTTTTTATTTATTTACATCTAATTCGAAAGCACCTATATTGTTACTAGAATACTAATCAATGAAGGGGGGAAATAAATTAAATGCTCCATGTCACTTGTCCAAATCATTTGTTTATATGGTCCACAATATATTAATACATCATACCGTATGAGCTGCTATTTGGTCCTGGTCTTTTGGTTTTACCCGAAACCAGACCGTATAACCTGGACCTGGACCGGGACCGGAAAGCAAACAATTCAATCTCATATTCAGGCATAGATTTGAGGTAATAAACTGTCCGGGACCGGATCAAAACCGGATAAAGACCGGATATAAGAGCCCAACACCCAAAACTCCACTAAAATCTCCACAATCTCAATCTAAAATAAAAACAGAATTGGGATAGGACCGGGTCAAAACCGGACCGGATCAAGACCAGACAGTATCCAATCCAATCTTTGGTCCTTATATTCCCGAAAAGACTGGACTGTGACCGGATCAATTCAGCCCAATTTAACAAGACCGGACCGTATAACCACCCTACTTCATAGACCCTTTCTAAAATAGTGGTGATACTTAATGTTTGAGCAGCCCTTACTTAAATGGTTGTTGATTGAGCAAAGCTTCAGCAACGATTTGAAAAATTGTTGGTGGTACTCAACCCATAGCAACATGGTGCAGATTTTGGAACTTCTTCGACGGCAAGTCAGACTAGATCGTGATTCTTGTCTCAGTCCGGGTCGAACCATGTGGTCTGATTAAAAAATCACAATTATTTCTGATGATATCACAACGTAGCATTTTATTCAGTTTGAGATCAAGAAGTCATAGTGTCGCATAACATATAAAAAAGCTTACAATAATAACCTCTCGAAATCAAAAGGAGGACAAGAGCGAGCTGACGTATCCGCGGTCTACCACGTCCTTATTTTCACATATTTACTAAACATATATGCATTCATTATCCATTATCACGAACCACGTATCAAAACGGACCACAACAAAAGTCGCAATCAGTCTACACGTAGCTCCACCTATGATCAATGAACTAGTAAGTCCCCTTGAGACAAACAACATCCAACGAGTACCCAACCTTGAAATAATAAATGGAGTCATCATCCCAAGCGTTAGGGGTGTAAGTTTGACCCTTAAAACTCACTGACCCGCCCCGACCCGTCCCGACCCTGATTAGGGGTGTAAGTTTGACCCTTAAAACTCACTGACCCGCCCCGACCCGTCCCGACCCTCAGGGTCGGGCTGGGTCAGTTTGTCTATAGGTCAATTTAGGGTCGGGTCGGCTTAGGGTCGGGTCAGGGTTAGATAGGGTCGGGTCAATTTAGAGTTGGATCACTTTTTGACCCTATGACCCTTAGCATCATACAAACATGTTGGACCTATTTGTAAAATTTTATAAGTTTAGGTACTAATTGTAAAAATTAAAAAATTTGGGTACCAAAACGTAATTTTATCATCAAATTTTAGGGACCTATTTGTAAAAAAATAATATTTAGGTACTAAAATGTAAGAAAAATAAATTCGGGTACCAAATTGTAAGTTTTAGAAAAGTAGTCTATTTATTAGGGTCGACCGACTGACCCGACCCTTCCTGACACGTCCCGACCCTAAAGGGTCAGACAGGGTCATGAAAGAAACAAGGTCGGGGCGGGTCAGTTATACATCTTGACACTTCAGGGGCGGGTCAGATAGGGTCAGGGCAAGGTCAGGTGCGGGTCGGACCAATTTTCATCCCTACCAGGCATAGCCGATGCTGCTGTCTCCCTGGACGCTCGCGGTTCACAGTTTTGGACTTCAGTTCAGGTCCATAGTGGACCGTGAACTCCCATGCAAAACCGTGAACTCTGCCTGGATCACTCTCTTTGCTCGGTTGTTGCCTCTTTTCGTCCAACTTTCGACTCCGGGACTAGTTTCACCTGTTGGATCCTGAAACACACTAAAATGCACAAAACCTAACTTAAAACCACTTTTGTGGGAGTCCAAATGCTACAAACGCCCTAGAAAAACGGGAATAAAATATGTACAATTAGATCTGAATCAATGCGACAATTGCACCTCATGACTTACCACCAACTGTGCCAGTGCCACCCAATTGCAGGCAAGTTTCAAGGTCATCAATTCTTTTTCCCTATGTTTTTGGCCCATCAGCCTGCGTTCTGGTATAGCACGTTTGTATGGGTTTAAAGGCCCACTTGTGTCTTATTTGAAAAACTAGCTTGTTGTCTGACTCGTTGGTCGGATCGTTATGTGAATATAATGTATTTATGATGTATATTTTAATTTTTTAAATTATTTGAATTGATGAATTTCGTATGACTTGAAAGTGACATCGAAATTATTTTCCATTTTCAAAATACTTATACCTTTTCATCAATGATGAACATTGTAAGCTTACTAGTTATGACCAAAGTTGTAAAATCGGTTTAAGCCGTTGAGCTGGTCAAGCAAGTAGTTTCAAGTTTAATGGTTTGATTGAGATCCAACTTTTTTGAGCCGTTGTACAACTTTTTCTAAATATATTTACAGGCTAAATTGCAAGTTTGGTCACTTGAATTACTAATAAATTTCACTTTAGCCACTAGTATTACTTTATTCCATTCATAGTCACTTAAATTAGGTTAACAGTCCAAGTTTGGTCACTGGCTGTTAGTCTCCGTTAACTTTTGCTGATGTGGCGGTCAACTCTAATAGTTGACCGTTGACTGAGTGACGTGGCAATTAAAAAATTAATAAAAAATAAAATTTAAATTTTCTAATTTCCAACTCATTTTTACACCCATTTGACAAAAATAAAATAATGTCCAATCAACTTGACACACACCACTTCTTCCATCACCTCCATCGGCAACTTCTCCGGCATTCTGCGCCGCCTCGCTGCTTCCGGTGTCGTCGCTCTCACCTTCCTCGTCTTCCTCCTCTACTTCCTCGTCCTCCAGCTCGCTCGCTCGACGCCGACGCAGTCGCGGTGCGGAGGAGAGGAAGGGGGAGAAGGAAAGCAAGAGCGGCCGCTACGATAACAAAAAAAAAAGTAGCCGCAAAGAGGGGAGCGGTGGTAATAATAATACCAAGGAACACCTAGCACTCCGTCGTTCCGCCCTCGAAACAAGTGTCGGTCGCCACGACGGCGCCGATGTCGAGGTTCGCCCTCGGATTCGATGTTGTCGTGAAGACGATGTCTCCGCCGGCAGAGGAGGAGCCGGGTGTGCGCTTCACCACGTCTTCGAGAATAGCGCGCACGCTCACGCGGAAGTTCTTCAGAACCTCAAACATGAAGAAGACAGTAATGCGTTTAGTCGCAATTATTTTTCAATTTGGCTTGCTGGTCTTGTCGTCAGCAGCTTTACCGGTGGGTCAACGAAGACCCTGTCGTCCCGCCGGCCGGGTGAAATACAATCATAAAGCTTCTGGCAGTCTCTGTTGGTCGGGGAAGTTCTACGACACCGGCCTCTGCTTCTTCAGCCTTAGCAGATCCTTCAACAGGACCGTGCATTTCGGCGGCCGCAGCGACGGATCGTCATCGACGAACCAGTTCACCGCCCTCGTCGTCGTCGGGGTCGGCGGCGTGTCCACAACAAGAGGATATCGGCACCGCAATTTGACTCACACATCCACCATCTCTCTTCATTTTTCTTGTTATTTAATATGCGATTTATGCTTCAACGGTCTTCAAGTACTGGTAGGGTAGCAGCGAAGGCGACGCAGAATGCCGGAGAAGTTGGCGACGGAGGTGATGGAAGAAGTGGTGCGTGTCAAGTTGATTGGACATTTTTTTGTCAAATGGGTGTAAAAATGAGTTGGAAATTAGAAAATTATATTTTTTATTTTTTATTAATTTTTTAATTGCCACGTCACTCATTTAACAGTCAATTATTAGAGTTGACCGCCACATCAGCAAAAGTTAACGGAGACTAACGGCAGTGACCAAACTTGGACTGTTAACCTAATTTAAGTGACTACGAATGGAATAAAGTAATTCTAGTGGCTAACGTGAAATTTACTAGTAATTTAAGTGACCAAACTTGCAATTTAGCCTATATTTACATATAAGATTGAGGTCCAAGTTATATTTATTAAAACTCTAATTCCATAAAAAAAGAAAAAAAACATACCTATCTCATGATCTACCCACCATCCCCTTGCCTCTCTCCTCTCTCCCCCTTGCCTCTATCTTCACCTCCCCTTAGTCACCGGATCATCTCTCGGATCACAGAGTAATTACTGATGCAATTGTAATTCCTTGTAAACGGACGACAGTATACAATATTATCAAGCAATATAGTATTTGCTTCGGTTGTCTCTCGTCGGCGGGAAGGGATGGGATAATGTTACTTCCCCTAAGAGAGATGTAAGTTTCACATTCAAGAGCAATTTGGGTATGATAAAAAAAAATTTATTAATTTTTTTATTAATTACACCATGGGAATTAAAAACCCATATTTAAATACCAGTGTAGTCAAAATCGCGCATTAAATCGTAAAAACTTGCGTTTTTACGTATTCAAACCATTAAAACGTTTCAGTTTCTACCTAAATTCGCTTAGTCACAAAAATTGGTAAAAACATGGGTAAAATCGGTAAAATCGCTTAAAATCGGTAAAATCGCGATTCTGAAACGTTTTTATACGATTTTGATCATCTCATAAAAATGTGCTAATTGGCCCAAAATGATGTAATTTTGGAGACATGTCAGCAAAAAATAAAAAAAAAGGAAAACATGATTCATCACTCGTTCTACAACTAGTGTCGAGATAGGGGCTTCAGATTACGTTGAAAAGACACATAATGGTATTCTCAACAGTCGCTGACCTTCTATCAGTCTTCTCCCTTAATCTTCATATGTGGCTCTTACCTGGGTTACGATAAAAGTTTATGGGTAATTGAACGTATGTAATTATGTAAACTCAAACCACCTTATGAGAATTTGGATTCTCAAGCTCGTTTACGGGTTACGATCTACGTTTATGAGCTTATTATTAAGATGTTATGAGTTTTCTTTACTTTTGAGTCAACACAAATTAGTTTATGTGTTAGATATTGCATTTTAATTTTGAATTTCAAGTATTTATTCACTTATCTAAAATCTACACACTCACATTTTACATACTATATGTTGTACTTAACATATTTTAGCTATTTTAGAGGGTGCGTAAAAAACTTACGCTTTTACGCTTTGATTCTACGTTTTACGATCTTACCCATTTTAGCTATTCTAGGTAGAATCGCGCTTTTAACTGCATTGTTAAGTACATGTTTTTTAGATTTTAATCCTACAATTAATGCAATTTTATCTCTCTCTATCTCTCTCTTCCTTTTCCAGCAGCCTCTTCGCTCCGATCGTCAAACTTTCTCCGACCGACAGCTTTTTTCCAGTGAAATCTTCCAATTTGACTCGCTCCAGCGATATGCAAAACAACCACTCTGTCAGTGCGCTTGTTGTATTGATTTTCATCTAGTGGTACACTACCACTGTTAGCGTTACTAGTGTAGCGTGGTACCGCTACCAGTAAGTAGTGGTACGTTACCACTACCACTGGTACCACTACAAAAAAAGAGATTTTAACGAGAGGAGAAAACGATCGTTATAAGGCCAAAAACCCTCGCCAAAACCTTTCGACGACAGGAAACCTACTCTCATTACAAGCTTTGCCGGTAAAAGTCACTAACGACCGGAAATTTTTGCTCCTAAAACCTTGTAACGACAGAGCAATTACCCTCGGTGATTGTTACCTTTAACCAACCAATTTTTAGTTGAATTAAGATGGAATTAATATGCAATTATTGACCTTTTATATTATAATTAACTCATTAATTGCAAACTGTCATCGGCATAAATAATAAATCAACATCATCTAGTTATTATAATTAACTCATTAATTGCAAACTGTCATCGGCATAAATAATAAATCAACATCATCTAGTTATTAAGCAGCGCTACACTACCTTCAAGTCCAAAAATCTTATACATTCAACATTCAAAAAGTGAAAAACAAATCCATATCAGATCCAGAGAATAGAAATCAAGTATAAGAATTCACAATTTTGAATTCCAAAATCTATTCCCTTAAAGCCGCATCAATCAACTTAGCAACCTCAATCTCGTTCACTTTGATCCGTGGCTCTGTTCTTACATATATCGATCAGGGGAACAGAGGGAGGCAGAGGAGGCAGGGCCGTTCCGTAATATTCGGAGGCCCTGTTCGACAATTTAAAATGTGACCCCAAAATTTTATCTCATAAATCTATTAAAAAGAATAATTACTTAAGTGTAGAAAATTATTACAGAAGTAATAATATTATCTATTAATGTTCAAAAAGTAACAATCGTCTAGCATTATTTGAAATAAAATCCTCCATTAGCCCTTCCATCTTCTCTATAAATTTTGAAAAACGAAATCAATCCATCTATTTCGAAAATATTATCAATAAGTATATCTTTGGATTGTAAATATTTACTAACCAATTTGTTGAGTGCAATATTTCATACCTAATAACTAATGAAACAATAAACTCAATATCACCAAGTTCATTTTGTGCAAAAAATTTAGCTTCACTTCTATTTTTCGAATTGCCATCAAGATCGACTACTAGTATTCAGGCTCCTCAACTCTCTGTTTTCTTTTATGCTTAGAACTACCTTTTTCAAATTTTTGGGTTGACATAACTAAAAATTATAGCTAAAAATTAATGATTCCAAATTTCCAATCAATATTAAGTTCCTTGTTAAAGAAAAAGAAAAAAATGTTAGAACTTAAAGAAAAGTGCCAGGATAGTAGGGATAGACATTTATTAAGAGTTAATTATAATTGGGTGTGAATAATTAATATTTAGGCGTTAGATGATTTTGGAAAGTTGAGAAATTTTGGGGAAAGAGATGAAGAAAGACGTTAAATAATCTAACTATCATTTTTGAACATCAAATAATTTCCAGCCCAGTGGTCAAGTGCCCTTTTCATGGACAAAGAGGTCCATAGTTCGATTGCAGCTGCTGTCATTCTTTGACATTTGTTTTTTCTCTGATCTGCCAGCTGCGCCTTTTATGGACTTTGAGGCCCAGTTTGGAGCAAAGCCCAAGGGGTTGCAGCTCCACCATGCCAGCCCAACAGGCTCCGATTATAAGGTCGAATTTGACTTTGACTCCGCTGGGCTTATGGATTATGAGGCCCCCAAAAGATGAGGCCCTGTGCTGTGGGTCAGACCAGCACAGAGTCTAGGCCGGGCCTGAGAGGAGGTCTTTCACAATTACTGTCGTTCTACTCCGTCTGAGTAGTCGAGTTCCCCAAATCTGCTATCCAAGATCCGAAAATTTAGATGGATCGAGAAAAAAGGACTTTGAGGCCCAGTTTGGAGCAAAGCCCAAGGGGTTGCAGCTCCACCATGCCAGCCCAACAGGCTCCGATTATAAGGTCGAATTTGACTTTGAATCAGCTGGGCTTATGGATTATGAGGCCCCCAAAAGATGAGGCCCTGTGCTGTGGGTCAGACCAGCACAGAGTCTGGGCCGGGCCTGAGAGGAGGTCTTTCACAATTACTGTCGTTCTACTCCACAAGCTAGAATTTGGGAAAGAAAAATATTGCGAGTCGTTCTTCACCACCGTAAGTGCATGAGCATCGATATCTTCTTCTTCTCCTGCTGTCAGACGTCTGAGTGGTCGAGTTCCCCAAATCTGCTATCCAAGATCAGAAAATTTAGATGGATCGAGAAAAAAGAGGAAGCTTAAATCAAACGAGTCTTGAAGGATACGGGGAAGGGTAGTAGATCTATAGATGTGGTGGTGGTCTGGTATTGAAATGACGACTAGATCGAGCAGAGGCATATGAAAGGATTGAAGAGTTGTTTGCAGATAATGAATGGGGAAACTTTAGTTGGATATATGGGAATAAAAAGTAGAGCGTCTGCCATAGAAAGAGGTGAGAGAAAGGATAAGAAAGGAGATGATTTTATTATTTAGACCATCCACGTCCATGAAATACCATTTATATTTCATATGCGGCCCCTACTGCCATATTAGCAACTTTTTCCATTCCACTACATATCACTTCCATTTCCTCTACATCCATGAAATCCACTATCTATTTCATATGGTGGGTCCAGCTTACTTTTTAATACATCAACGCATTTTATCTAACCTATATGATTTTACTAATTTAAGATGTATCAAATAATTAAAATAATATATTGTAATTATTTGATTATCAATAATGAAATAAATTTACTAATTCATTGAAAAATATATTATAGCTTTATTCAAACTTTGTTTCATATTACACTTTCAGAATTTCAAAATTTAATTTATCCAAACTTAATGAATTTTTCATAATTTGAAAAAAAGGAAATGAAAAAAAAAAACATCACATACACAGACATAAAAAAATGCCTTTCCTTTTTTATCATTTGTTATTAAAAGTATAATTTCAAAACAAAATGAAAATGAAAAAAACCATTAAATGTAGGATGGAGCCCACTCTCCACCCACTTGCTCTTCCATTTGCTATTTCATTAAGTGGAAGATCCCACTTTATGAAATAGGCACCACATCCATGGAAGAGGCAAATGAAATGTCACGTCACAATGGAAGGGGCCTTTGACAGGGGTTGGGGATGGTCTTAGGCAAAATACATTTGTATAGCCAAAATTTTGACGCTTTTGACAATAATAGTCACTTTTTGAGAAATACACAAAATGTCCAAAATTTTGAAAGTTTCATGACAAAAATAGATAAACTTTAACGGTTTTAGAAACTCCGTTAGTTAACGGAGTCAGAGACA